CATTCTCAAGCCTCAGGCCATGTTGTGAATTTAAAATAGTAATGACTATAAAGGGGTTATAGGCTAGCTGAATTTAACATTATTTTTTCTCCTTACAAGAATTTGTTGTAGCACCTCTTACAAACTCGTTTTGAACAGATACAATCCTTATAAAAATCTTACTGTTTTATTATTTCTGCTGTAGACATTCTTATTATTGTCAACAGAGCCATTTTAGGCTTAGTCTTATAGGGAAAGTGACGACCTCTTGCAGTCTGTGCTAACGAAAAGAAGACGGGAAGAGATAGAGGAGCCCGGAGGACTCGTGTGCCCCCAGTCACAGGCAGGACACAGCTCTCCTCGCTCGAGCACGTCACGCAGCCGGCGTGTCAACTAGTGATTAGATAGAGCTGAGAGGCCAGCGAGCAACACAACGAAAATAAACCCTGTCAGAAAAGGCAGGATTTGGTTGCGTCCAGGGGAGCAATATTCAATGTTTCTGTTTCTAAGGTGGGATTTACGAATAGGCAGAGCAGGCAACCGCTTAGGGGAGGGAAGGCCCAGCAGGAGCCTGGCAATCGCTGGGGCTGAGCGTGACGCCCCACAGCAGCCTGCGGAAAGCAGGGGCTCCTGGTGGAGGCTCCTGCAGGAGGAGGCCCCTGCAGGAGGAGGCCGCACGTCCCTGTGGGCTCCTCACATTTGCTCCTCTGCAGGAGCGATTACAGGCAGCAAATGGGGGCCTGAGCTCTCCTCCCATGTGGCCACGTGTGATGGATGCCCTTCCCAGCCAGCTGGGAGCACTGCTCAGGGCAGCAGGGAAAGAGGGGTGATCCTTGCTGCCTGCAAGGGGCTGGCAAGGGAAGGGGCTGCTGAGGCTGCAGGAGGAAGGTGCTGTTTTGCTCATCGCTCCTGCTGCACTGCTGCCCACAAAGTGGGAGCTGCAAGGCCCCATAAACCCGTGCAAGAGATTTCTGCTTGCAAAGGTGAGTTAGCAAGCCTTGCTCTCCCACCGAGTCCCACACTACTACACTTGCATTGCTGCAGAAATCCCACTTTGCTCTTCACAAGCACATGGGCAAAGCCCTTTTTTGCTTTGTCCACACTTCTCTGCCTGTTATTGCATCAGGAGATGCTGATCTTTCTTAGGATACATTTAAAAACTCAGCATAAGTAATAAAAAAGGAATAATTGCAGTTGGCTGCTTCGTGATCTTGAATGAATCACCTAGGCCAGAAGTCAGGGAGCTTAAGTATTTCATCATGGTAGATCACAGATAGTCTCATTTGCTTTATGCTAATGTTTTGAGGGTCCCTGCTGAAACTTGTTGTTATGGTTGTGCAATTTGTAAGCTGTTGTACAGCCGAGACTGCCAGCTCTGTGGTGTCTGTGGTAGAAGTGCTTGGCCCAGTGCAGGGTTCAGGGAAGTCGGGCTGTGTCAGATCGTTTGCACTTGTTACAGCTACTCAATCTACACTTACTCATTGGGGAAATAACCTGGTAGAGAAATAACGTAGCAGGCAAGGGTCAGCTGGGAAGGCATGGGCAAAATGTGAGAGAAAGAGCAGGATGAGATGCACATTCCCCATTTACACTCACCCTCAACAGCTTTCTGGGGTAAACATCAGATGAGTAGCAGGAGGGCAGCAATAAGGGCAGCAGCTCCGGGCTGAGGCCACTGCCAGCTCCAGATCTGCTGAGGGATTTTGCAAGGGGAAGGGAGGCTCAGCACTAAAGCAGCATCCTGGCCCGAGGCACCAAAATGTCTTGATGCAGCTTTGGCTAGACATGATGCAAGGTCTGTTTTGATCAAGGGATCAATCTGCAAGATCTGTTTTGATCAAGGGATGAATTGTAGTTTCCACAAGTCGCAGTGTCCCCTCGGTGCTCGGCAGCAGTGAGTCTTCAATCTGGAAGAGGTGGTGCTGCAACCAGCAGGCTCCTTGCAGATAAGGGGCTATTGGAAAGCGTGTGGGGTTGAGATATTAGCTCCTTGCAGGTGTAGTGTTATAAAATGCCCTGACAATTTCTGATACCTGTCTCTTTGGCAGGACAATCTGTTCCTTCCCCTTTGTTGCAGGGCTTCCCAGGGTTGGGACTTGGGCACGTACATTGGGATGTGCGGTACTGCTGCAGAATGGGAAAGTTTGCCAGACTGGGGATAAGTCTTTGCTGTTTCGGGCAACATGGGCCAAGACACTGCATCTGGTTATTGCTTAGGCTGTGTGCCATGCGTGTTTCTTTCTTCACCTCCCTTTTTGGCCTTCTTTTCCCAGTTCCGCTTCCAGTTTAACGGCTTCATTAGGCAGCAGTGGCAGGGAGTGCTGGAGAGCATGTGTAAACACAGCAGGCCACGCTCACGGAGAATTGCCCTTTGCACCGTCCGCGTGAGCAGCGGGGCTAATGCTAATCCCTAATGCATCCTTAATGCTGCTTCCAGGGTTGCAGCAATGTGGACAAGGCAGAGAACGAGATTGCCGCTTGTAAATGTCACGGGCGACAGCCTGGCATCGCCCTGGTGATTTCTCAGTGTGAGTGATGCTGCAGGAACAGGCGCTGATACGCAATCCGTGCTTCTGGTGTAGCCAGCGGGCCGCGCTCCGCGCTCCTCTTGCAGCTCCTGCTGCGGCTCCGCTCTCCCTCCCCGTGTTGCTCGAGGGGCACCAGGAGAATTCCCAGGCAGGTTAAGCCAAGGGCAGGGGAAGACAGTGGAGGACACGACTGTGCTGAGCCCTCCTTGCTCAGAGAGGCAGAAGAGGCTGAGGGTGCAGGTAGTATCTGGTGACCGTGTCGTGAGGAGGAGGATGCAAAGGATGGGTTTTCCAAGATCCCAGTATCTCCTGTCAAAAATATTGCCTGTACTGCAGCACTTGGTGGCGTTTTGCCTTGGAAGGCCCTTGTTGGGACTCTGAAAGATGCAGCAGATTGTGGGTGGTGTCAACTTGTTGCATATGCTGATTGGTCACGACAGGGAGAAAAACGGTAGGGTGAATAAAGAGAAAGATAGTCCAGAGAAAGAAAATATGCAACACTAATGGTCAAATAGAACATATTTTAAATGGAAGTTTAACAGGATTTTTCAGAATTACAGGAATCAGGAAAACTGCCTTCTTGCCTATTTAATGACTCCTTCTCTGTCCATGCAGTTAACCAGTATTTGAGGTTGCAGGGCACCCCTAGAGTTGGCTGAAGAAGGAGTTATGAGTCCGGTGTTGCAGCTGGCATTGGCAGGTCAAGTGTTTTCCCAATGCCTTGACCAGGAACCGTTCTGCTGAAGGAAGTGAGAAATGGCGGAGAGGCTCCGTGCTCGGAGCCGCAGCTCCAGGAAGCTCCATGCTCAGGAAGCACCGTTTCCTTTCAGGATGCCCCTCACAGACACCTCTTTCAGTCTCTGCCTCCAGCTGCCTCAGCCTGAACCCCAGTTCCCTAGTTCAAGGAAGCGGCCAACACGGGCAGGGATGAGCAGGTTGGTGGAGCCGGGCAGGGTGAGGTGCCCTATGGTATTTCACTTTATTGTAAAGATAATTCTCTTGATGAAAGTGCCCCAAGGTGATACAGCAGCTCCAGCTTCGAGGAGGGCTGATAATATCACTGGCAATAAGAATTCTGATTCAAACATCTGTGTCCTGAGGTAAAGCCACATGCAACCCTGCTGTGCATCCTTGCAAGGTGCCCTGGCCCCCTGCTCCCACCTGAGTGTTTTCCCACACCAAGCAGTAGAGTGGGGGTAATTGGGAGCACTGTGTCCTGGCTTTCATTTCGGTGCCTGCTCTTCTGTGTTCTGTTCTTTTTCAAAGTGCACGATAAAGGGCTGTCGGGTAAAACTCATTTTTATTTTCAGTCCATCATTAATAGCGCTTTTCCCACTGGAGCACTCATTGCCCACAGGATAAAGGGTGCTCTAAAGAGTTAAGAAGAGTAATTGTATTTTCATCGGCTTATGTATTAGCACAGGCGGGCTAATGCACCAGAGTATCTTGACAAGCCCTATAATTGGAGATTGTTTAAAACAAGCTTTCAGCTGTTCATGTGCTCCAGCTCTCAGTTAATTTCACATCTAAGCCATTAAGCAGAAAAAAAAAAGTAAAAAATAGAGCGCTGTTCATTAAAGACATCTTGAAAATCAGGTTGTTTACAGGGGTGGGGGGTGGTAAATTTTGAAAAGCTTGAGGTGAATGTTCTGCAAAATGTGCGCCGCGTGCGAAGAGTCCAAGTTGGTGACAGCTCTTGCAGAGCTGTCCTGCAAGGTTCCTTGCAGGACCCGGACCTCCCCCGCAGGAACAGGCAGCGCTTTCGGCTCCGGTTAGGAAAGAGGATGTGGCCCGGGATGGACCTTTCCTGCCTGCCCCTGCGCTTCTGTGCCGTGGCCCCACCTGTGAAAGCACAGGATACTTTTCTGCAGCCAGCTGGTTATGGCTTGCATGAGAAAGCCTTTGCAGGACACCGTTTGTCATGTAAGGGATGACTCTTTTACCATCCCTTGTCCTGTTGAGATCCTTCTAGGAAAATACAGATGAGAAGGAGCAAGGTAATGTGACCTAAGTAGTCTGCTGACCGCTTGTTCTGATCTCTCGCACTGGTTTTATGCATTAAGTGAAAATCAGTGTAACGTACCTACTTAGTTGTGAGGGGGGGAATTCATTCCTTATCCTGGCTGATGATCAATTTATATTGATCAATTTATGAGTTACAGCAATTGGAAGTTTATGGAATAGGTGTAAACATTTGCAGTAATCTAAATGTCCAAGAAATTCTCAACTGCTAACTTGCTGTTTTCTTGCCTTGTGCTTCTTCTCCCACTTAATATCATTTCAAAATATTCAAAATACTTGTGTAGGTGCATACAGAGAAACGCAATCACTTTGCCTGCTAATTAGACATGACTGATTTTAACCAGTCTGTCAGTAAGCATCCCAGCAGATAAAATACTGTATTTGTCTATGATCACTGGTGTAGAATCGTTATCAATTCAATGTGAATTAATTATATTTATACGCTTCATTTTTGGCTTTATGTTCCCTCAGGCTTCAGACTTGATTATCACTCCAGCTACGACTTTCAAGGAAAAACCAGACCCCACTGGTTTGGTGTTTGGAACTGTGTTCACTGATAATATGCTGACAATTGAATGGTCCCTGGCGTCAGGATGGGAGAAACCTTATATTAAGCCTCTTGAGAACCTTTCGTTGCATCCAGCCTCCTCCTCTCTACATTATGCTATAGAAGTGAGTACTTAAAGGACTTGGAAATTGTTTCTTTCATGTCATTAGCTCTTAAAAGTATAATGTATTATAGAAGGACTGATACTGCCTTAACTTTGTTAGGATTTAGCTACATTTTGCTAACTGATGTCATTCTAGAATGACTTCTTTTATGGTTATGCTTGTGTTGGTGTAATCAGAATCAGCTCTGTGGGTTCCAGCACACTTTGCTTTACAGCACGGTGAGGGAGAGCCCATCTTTTGTGGATTTAGAAGAACATTGTTGTTCACTGACAAAGGGATCTGTCCAGCTACTGTTAGGGATGTAACTTATTAAGTGCTGGATAGGACTGTGTGAGACTCCAAGGATAGTTTTAATTGGGGACTGAACATGCACTTTGTGGAATTTATTGTAATCTGTTTAAAGGTTTATAGCTTGGCTTGCAGAGCAGACTAGGCAGATGCTTGTTCGCACCTCCAAACAAGTCTGGAGAGCTCCGAAGGAGATAGGAGGCATTCCACACGGACAAGGGTACTAGAGCAGGGAGTATTCAGCACGGGACTTTGGGAAGCGGAGTGTGCAGTCGGAAACCAGCGTGGTTGCCCGTTTCCGTGCGTAGCTGCCAGCTCCCTGCCGCTGTCCGCTGTGTCCCCGAGCAGCCTGGGCACTGCGGGGAGGCCGCGCAGGCTCCTCCTCACGCTCGCTGCAGCTTGGGGTCCAGCGGAGCTGCTGGGGCTTCTTTTGTCATTTGTTTTTCTTTTCTTTATTACCGCTGCTGTCCCTGGGCTCCTGCCTGCACCGTTTTTGCTGTCACAGTTTTTCCCCCTCCCCGTCTCGTCACCTAAACTCCAAGGGACCTGTGTAAATGGCAACGGGCCCCTGCGGCTAAGGCTGCAGCTCTTGATCTGCCCAAGGAGCAAGAAACCACGCTGGAGTCCCCAACCTGTAGTGCACTCATAGTAGCATATTGCTTTAGTGCTCGGCCTCTGGCCCGCTCTGAGATCATTGCTAATATGAACATTCTCTTATTTTTTTTTCCATTTTTTTTTATTTATTTATTCTTTTACTCTTATTGCATCACGTTTCCTCTAGCCAAGAGGACAGACAGAGGAGAATCTGGTGCCAATGCTGTGGCTCAATGAATACACAGTGGGTATAAAAAAAAATGATGAATTTGGCATTCCCTCCCCTTTTTCCTTGCCCTTCATGATGCAGTGTGAGAGCTTGGATCTGCTGAACTCCAGATCCAGCTCCTGTGACGTATAAGTGTCAGATAATATTGTTTGCACACCACTGTAGCCTCCAACCATCAAGCAACCGCAACAGTTGCTGTTACTCAAGTTGAGCATTTCTGGAACACATCACTGTCTCCCTCTTGAAAGAGTGAAATGTTTACCGAGCTCTTGAACATTAAAAATACTTATTTTTGGAGAAAAAGAAATAATGGTTTGAGAAGGCTTTGTGTTTCAGTAATGATTTGATTCTTGCTTTTGTTGAACCATTGGTCAAATCTTAGTAGTAACATTCCTTCCTCTTCCCTCTCATTAACACTTCTGTAAATGTGTTGGGAGAAGGGGCGGGGGGACAACGTTTCTGAGAAGAACAAGTAGCTTTACAGAAATGCGATATTGCTCAGTAGCTGACCCAATAGAAATCATTTCAAAATAGCATTTGTATCATATGCTATGCCATCACTTATTAAAAATATTTTTTTTCTCATAGCTGCAATGTAGCTATCTTGGGAGCAGTTTTTCTTTCTTTTTAGTACTGTGCACAAAGCTTTTAATAAGGTTGGCATTATCATAGAAGTAAGAGCAATTTCAGGGCAAAAAGTTCTAAGTTTTAACTCTAGTTCTGCTGTGTAGCTGATATGTAGCTAAGGAAAATTGCCTAGATTCCTGCAACCCAGTTACAACTCAATTAAAATTTGTCATGTGGAAGGACCTAACTCTGTCATGGGCCTGTATGAAAGCTGTTTAAACTTTGCATTTCACTGTTCATTATGGGAAAATGTGGAATTTAATAATAATGAAATCTTTAGTATTTTATAAAATCATTTACCAACACTGGATTCCATTTCCTTAATCAAAAACTTACATATGTTGTTTTCCAGTCACACAGAATGTATTTACAGCTATTTTTTTTTAAACAAAAGAATTCTCAGGAGCCTGACAGAAGCAATGAAGCTAAATTTATGGAATTTATACGGAAATTTAATGTACAGTGAAACACATCTTAAAATTCTAAACTCTGTGCATAGCTATAAATAAAATTATTCAATTCTTAATCTAAGTAATATATGTATACAGTACATGTATGTTTATCTGTATCTGGAAATTATCCATCTATAACTGCAAATTACTGTGGGTATTTTGTGCGCGTATGCAGTTTTCCTGCAATTAGGAGACAGTAACGCACTCTGCGGGCAGGACGCTGGGGCAAGAGGATTTCTGGTAAAGTGCACCAGTCATCCAGGCCCTGCGGTTAGATCAGATAACTATGACCAACCTAGACTTCCTGTAAAGTCCAGATGAAACATTTTCCTGTGCTCTTTCTTTGCTGTAGGATGATGCACTAGTCTCGCGTCTTAACTAGACCCCCCAACCCCATCATAGGGACATATAGGAGAACAGACAATGAAGAATTTGCTTGCAACAGCCTCCTCTTAATACCTTATTCTATGCTTCCTACCAAAATGTGTCTTAGACCTTAAAATAATTGAGCCACTAGAGTAATCTTATATATTTAATTAAAATCCATAGGTCTTTTTTTAAAAGGGAGAATGCTGTTTCAGCTCAGCTTTTGGTAGCCATCAGGATATGAGGCAACAGTTAAGTCAAACACATGCTACAAATTTTAATTGTTGTAACCAAATTTTGAGGAAAAAAATGTTATCAGCAAGTCCCTTGAGAGAACAAGATGTATTTTTTAGTGTAGACAGGTCATCTTTATAATAAAAACATGCAAATACCACCTCACAGGAGTGTGCTGCAAGGACTGACTAGCTAACATGAATGTTTTGAGCACTGTTGGTGTTAGGAAAAAGCAGTAGGAAGGGAAGGTAGGAAAGTGAAGTTCCTTTATTTCCAAAGGGCATGTTGTACTTTTACACAGGTCCCCCATGGGATAACCTGCCTCAGTTACTGTTTGTTTTGCCTTTCTGCTCCCCTTCCCCTCGCCGTTCGGCCTGGCAGTTGTTTGAGGGCATGAAGGCCTACCGCGGCGTGGATGGCAAAATCCGCCTCTTCAGACCCAGCCTCAACATGGAGAGGATGGCGCGATCGGCCCGACGAGCGACGCTGCCGGTACGTGGCCAAGGCACGTCTCCCATCCCGACCTAAGGGGGTATCTTTGTTTTCAGAGTATAAATCTCTGAAGCAGCGCTGTAGCATAGCATTTACCAAATACTGTAACTCTTGAACAGTTCTGTTAAATCTTTTTGGACGTCCTGCTCAGTGAAGGAAACAGCTTGGATTTTTCCTTCTTTTAAATCGCAACAGAGTTTTGCTTTTTGCAGTATCTTCCTGCTGCCTTTGATGTAGAGGGTCTGCTTCTGAGGAAGGCACATTGCTCTTTAGGTCTTTGCATGCAGACTCATGAATAAGTTGCTCTATTGCTGTTACTTTTTTTTCCCTCACCTCAGTTAAACCCTTTAGCATCCAAGTGCCTTCATTTTTGATTTTGCACTAATAACGCTCCTTCTAGCACTCATTTACTGGCCAAACGATTTCCTCCAATATTTATTAGCTTTATTACTGTAAGAACTTGTTGTTAAAACTAAGAGACTTGGTCATCCCCTTGTAGTTGTCAAGCAAAACATCCTCTGCCAAAGAGGTTGTGCTCTAGTGCTCCAGGTGCCCTGGGAGGACAAGGTGTTGGCTGCACATGGGGTTCTTTCCATGTGCTTTGGAGGCTAAGATAGTGAATGGCTACTTTTTCGTAACCCTGGAAGAATATTTTCTTTTCTCTCTTTCTTTGCTCCTGCAGTGTTTTGATGAGAATGAGCTGCTGGAGTGCATCCGGAAGCTGGTGGAAGTGGAGAAGGAGTGGGTGCCCTACTCGACTGCTGCCAGCCTGTACATCCGTCCCACTTTAATTGGAACTGAGGTTCGAAACAACGCATTTCCTCTTTGCTTTTGTGTGTTTAAGCAGGACACCATTCGTTCATCAAGTTAAATACGCAGCAGCCAGTACATGATAGTGTCAGGGTTCAGGGTTACATCTTTTTAGTATTTTTGATTCTGAATGAAATCACCTGCAGGTCTGCTTCACAAACTTGTTGACCACACCACCACCTAGTGGACACATTTGTTCAGATCATTTCAGGTAAAGGGTTGCAATTTTTTAAGTAATTACAGTAATTATATATGTAGATATATAAAAAAAAACTGAGAGGATAGTTATTTGTGACACAATAGTCGCATAAAATATTCTATTTGCATCATTTAGCTTCTTTATTTTAAATCCTGCTGATTTTAAATCCTTTAGAATATTAATAATTTAGAGAAAAAACAGGGGAAAATTTTTATGGTGATTTTATTTCATTTCATACCTCCACCCTGAGCTAAATGAGAGGACTATAGAATATTCTACCTAGTAAATAAAGATGTATCTTCTGAGACAAAAATATCAAACTCTAAAAATCATTTCTTGTGTTATTTTATTCTCAAACCTGGATGAACCTGACCTTGGCAGAAGCTTAATAGCATGAGTTTCATGTGGGCATGAATCGAAAATAAGGTATTTTCCAAGTGAATTAGAACAGGGATTTTGTTTTAATTAACATTTTTGGGGGCAGTGGTGAGAGAGAAAATTTTAATGGCAGAGCATGGCATAACAAAGCTAAAGATTGTGTGGTTCCCAACTAGCAAAATCACTTTCTTGCAATAGCCTATCCATCAATGCTTATCATAATACTCATTTATTTCACATGTGTTCTAAGACTTCATTAATTTAATGTGTTTGAATTAGTTGTAGATTTTCGGGTGAAAGGATTTCCACAAAGTATTATTATTATTATTATTATTATTATTATTATTGAAAAATCTAACCTCAGATAGCAACCATGAGCTTGTTCTGTTTAAGTGACTGGTTTCTCTGAAGGGAGTGAACGTAGTAACCCATTCAGTTGCATATAAGATCTCAAGGATGAACTATTCTTTCTAATGAACTAACCCTAAACAAAACAGTATTTTAACAACCAAGCAGGATCCAGCCTTAGGATACTTTTTTTGAACTGTTTGTTTCTCTTAAAACTGTGAAAGAAAAAGATTTGTAGTGCTAAGAGCTTGTGACTGTTCCTCATATGATTTCTTCCTCTTATTTTAGTCCTTCTCTGGGAACATAATGCTTCAAATGACCCAGTGATTTCTGAGAAATGCTGCTCCTGATTAAGCGCAATTCAAGCTGTCGTTAGTTCCCCTTCATGTAGCATAGTGGCAGCTGGGAAACTGCAGCCCCATGGGCTCTTTTGAACTAGTAATAATGGCAAAGACCATGGTTTTTCTCAGAAAAGCTCAAAAGACACAAAAACAGTCTCTTCACAAATAAGAGTGAAGCTTCAGTGATCTCCAGAGAGGCAGGATTCATTCAGCTTCGCAGAAATTTTTCAACTTGAAGGAAAAAGCTGGTGGTTATTAGGTGAAAATAGTCAACACATTAACCAGAAATCTCAATTTAGCAAAGTCTTTCAAGCTGTCTCCTTCTCGTGGGAGCTGCATTAGCCCTCAGAGACTCTCATCTGGCTAGAAAACTAAGAATCTAGGCTAGAATCACTAAGAGGACTTGTGACCTGAAACACAGCATGCACCCAGTTCTCCTCCCCTTGCCGTGGGAGAGGGAGCCCTTGTCCTTTGCCTCTCCGCTGATCTTGTGCTTAAGCAGAGAACACTCAACCTGACATGCTGCTCTGAGTAACTGCTTATACACAGACAAATTATGGGGTAAACTCTGCTGTTTGTGGCATCCAGCTGCCTACGTTTGCGTGATCCCAGCAGCGTTACACAGTATTCCAGCTGTGATCAAGTCTCGTTATAAAAGCTGCCTCCTGGCAACCAGTTATTTTGGTTAATTTCTCACTCTAGAGCTTTGCTAAGAATCATATAGATGAGCAGAGACTGTTAGCCAGAATTCAGCCCTTGGGCAGTGGCAAACTTCACCTCCTTCTTCACGTTTTGATTGTGATGATTTGAAGTAGGAGAAGCTGTCTCAAGGAGAGGAAAACAGCAATACATTCAGGCTCATTTCCTATGCTGTCGTATGTGAACCCCTTTCCAAAAGGCAGATCATTTCAGAATGACATGTGGTCTCGCCCAGAGCTACTACGTGATTCTCCTAAGAGCTACTTGGCACTGGCTAATTCTAACCTCTAGTAAAACTGGCAGTGGTTCCTCACCATTGCTGCTGCTAGTAGTGGTTCTTGCACAAGAAAAGAAAAAATAAAAAGGGCTTTGCAAACTTGTGCTATAATTAATATAGTTACATTTCATATCCGGTGTATCCATGAGCATTCTATGTATCCATGAGAATTCTGAATTCTCTAAATCTTGAAATTAATTGAGAAGGTTAAAATAATACACGAATGAACCAAATGTAAAATTAGAGATTCTATGTTGCTTGGTCAACAGAGGGAAAAGGGATATATAAATACTTCCCATTCTCTGCAGTGCTTTATCTTGTCTGTAAAAGCATTTCTCTACTGCAGTTCCTCTGAAAACTCTTTCTTCGGAAGCTAATTGTGCCGAATCTGATGTTTGGGCTGAAGGTCACCAGTAACTTTTGTTTTTATTCCTTCTGTTCAGCCTTCTCTTGGAGTAAAGAAGCCAACTAAAGCCCTGCTCTATGTCATACTGAGTCCTGTGGGCCCTTACTTTGCAAGTGGAAGTTTTAATCCTATATCCTTATGGGCTGATCCAAAATATGTAAGAGCCTGGAAAGGAGGAACAGGAGACTGCAAACTGGGAGGGTAAGAAAACCTGATTCTGCATTTTCTACAGAGCTTCTAATGAGACTCCTGCTTTTTTTTTCTTCTTTAGTGAAGTGTCTAATCTGGCAACAGATGTAAAGGTAGCTGTTGGGCAGACAGCGTACTACAACAAAGATTTCAAAATTGCACTTTCTCCCTGTGTATACATTTCAGATGCCTCTTTCTGTTTGGAAATCACTGCCAAATGAGCTCTTTGGATAGGGAATTCTGCAGTGCCTCACGCCAGGGAGCTGGACCTGGGCAGTTTCTGCCTGACATTTCAGCCATTCCCCTTGCAGAAGCTGATGCTGTAGATGCCACTTCAGCCTGTGACACAGCACTCTCTGCAGTGGCCTGCTGCCAGCTGGGCAGTGCACCGTGTGGGCTGCTCTCCTTTCTTGGCAGCCTGTCCGGGGGAATGTGGCTTAGGGACAGGGCCCACATTATGCAGTTACCTGCACGGGCTTGACCATGATCTATTAATGTCGGTAGGTAGAAATGCAACTGCTAATGTCCAAGTGTCCGAGGTGTTGTCAGAATGGAGCTGCTTAGGATTTGAATGGAATAAGCAACCTTGATATGGCCGAGTAGTAGATTGTAAATATATAGTCTGTGGTTTAAACAAAGCTTCTACCTAAGAGTTCCCTCTGTAGGCATGAAGCTAGCAGGTTGTCAGGTGCTGCACAGCCAAGCTAGTAGAATAACAAATTGGAACAAAAAAAACCACCCTCCCTTCACTGAGTCTGGTGTTTTGAGTCTATTACACTCTGCTTGTGGGATTTTTTATTTTTACAGATACAGTAATTGTTTCCTAAGCGTGCTTCATACTTCAGTTGTGAAGAAGAGAATACCTTGAGGTCGCTACAAACTTTATTTGTGGACCAGAAATGAGAACTTAATAACAGAGTGGTCAGCAATGGATGTACTGATTTAGGAATCTGATGGTTGTTGAACATCAGGAGGATTTTTTTTTTCCTCAGAATGGTACATCTGAGGCAGCATTTTAAGAAAATAGTTGCTACTCAAAGATATGGAGTTCACTGAGGTCCATATGCAACTGGAGAGCTACCAGCTCTGTGAATGTCACCTACTAGAAAAGAAATGGTTCATCTTTGCTAGTTTTGTATTACAAAAGGTCTAACTACCCATCTACTCATCTAACATATAGTATGAGGTTGATACCTTTGTTTTGTTTTTTTAAAGCCATGGATGGATGGGAATTGATGCATACTCTCCAGGATTCTAACTGCTAAGTATGCTTAAAAACAAAAGCTTTGCTTAAGTGTCCAATTGCAATAGTCAGGACCTCCACAGAATGAGACAGGAGGTGTTTTTAAGACTGTCTGGATGGATATGGTTGAGCTGCTCAGCCCTTCAGAATTACAGGATAGTAGATACAAAATGATGTAGTAAAATACAATCACAGTATCTCGGGAATAAGCAGTGACTGTGCAGAGCACTTGCTTATAAAGCAGAGGTGCATTTGTGCCTTACACAAATATGAGAAAATGAAAATGTGTTATGGACAGAAAATATCCTGCCAGACACTCATACCTGTTTGCTTTTTGTTTTTGTTTCTGGAAGGAATTATGGTTCTTCTATTTATGCCCAGAGAGAAGCCTTGGAGTTAGGTTGCCAGCAGGTTCTGTGGCTCTATGGAGAAGATCATCAAATAACTGAAGTTGGAACGATGAATCTCTTTCTCTACTGGATAAATGAAGATGGAGGTATAGCACCACAAAACACAAAGACTCTAACAGAGTTCCCATCGGGACAACAAAGCAGATGTTCACATTTTACAGACAGAGCTTCTAGAAGCTGCAGTTTGGTCCAAAGAATGACAACTAGGATTCCTTTTCCTGTTAGTGGCATATAATCCATAAGTGCTTCTTCCCACAATCCACAAAATGATTATTAGGGTGCCGATCGCACCCTCTACTGGCAGTTATTTAACCAAGGGAAAGCTTCTTCCCTTCTGACAACTAATAGGTGACTGTTGGTCACGCCATCCTATGGAGGAGAGACTGGAGCAGCCGTGAGCGCTGCCTGCCAGTAAGTTGCTGGTCTGCAGGGCCTGTCCACACGCCCAGGCCGGGGGCTCCGGCCGAGCAAGGGCTCCCACTGTCTGTTTGCTGTCAGCTCTGGCAGCATGATCTCGAAGGCGGCATCGAGTCAGAACAGTGCAGACGGACCAAAGGCGCCGTATGCTGTGTAACTTCACACTCCGTGCCTTTGGGCAGGGGTGCTTCCCATAATCACTTTCCAGCAGGCCATATGTTCCTGAAACGTGACCAAAAGTATTTCAGCATCCAACCGGTGAAGCAGTCGGCTCTTTCTTTGAAGGGTTTGCAGCCCTGTCCAGTGGGGGGAGAGAAGCTTTTCACATCGCTTGCGCTGACACGATGCTTAATATATACATTGCACAGAAAACTGTCTGGTTAATGAGCTGCCAGCTAAGCATCTCAGAAACATCCCGTGAGCTTGCAACTATTCAGTTCTTAAGAGCTGATAGCTGTACATAAATAGTGATTCAGAAGAGTACCTGGGGTTGCCTGCTTATAGAATTGAGCCGATGTATGTGGAAGTCGTGGAAGGATATCTCCAGACCTACATGAGTGTGGGCCCACACAGAGCACTCTGTATAAATGAAAGGCTGTTGGACTTTTGCATGGTAGAGGAGGCAGAGTTTCAACTGAGGATTTAATCATAGTGCTGTGGGTGAAAGCTGTCACATTTCTGACAGCACTCAGCTGCACTACAGTGGCAGCATTCGGTGAGCACAGCAGTGTGCCTCAGATGTGCTTATGTTCAGGGCACAGCAGTGTGAGTCCGGATACCTGACTCCCATTTTCAGTTTCATTTCTTGCTTTTGTGTGAAATCTTTACTGCTTCTGTAAAAATAGGCATGATAACTCTTTAGTGCTGAAGGAGTCTTTGAAGTCCCATGAATGAAACTATAAATACGAAAGCTGTTATTGTTTTTACAGCAGCAGTGGATTTGTGAGGGTGGCTAGATGGCCAAATTTACCCCCTGTGTAACTTCACCAGAGACATGAAAATAAATTTTGGCTCATTTTGCCCAGGGAAAGGACACTGAAGCAGGGACATGATTAGAATTCAATGTTCTCATTGTCCTTAAACCAGGAATATGCGGGAATTATCCAGCTGCAGCACCGTGCTGTTCCAAAGATCTGCCAATCACCGGGTTACCCGTGCACTAGTGAATAGTGCTATTGTCAGGGGGCTGTGGCAAACAACTTGTAATTCATGCCACCCAGGCTCGTGTGTACTGGCGGACCTGCCATTCCGCACGGCGTGGTCATTAGCATCGCTGGAGCACTTTGTTGTCTCCCAGTGCCTAGGTTAACATTTAATTTGTAGTCCCTTTGGTTAAGAATCCCTCTGACTACCAAGAGGGTTCCACGTGTGCCAGTGCATAGGTAGGTACCTGTGTGGTTTTATGGTAGAGCTTAGGAAGTGCTTGCCATCATGTTCTGCCACTGCATGGAAGATACTTACTTAGGCTGGACCTTTGTTTTGTTATGGAAATACTGCAGCTGAGAGTGATCTAACGTAAAAACAGTGTGGCAGAAATTGCATCTGATAAAAAGGAAAATGTGCTCTGTGTGTTCAGAGGTCACCGCATAGTGCTCTGTGAACAAGCTCTGCTTGGCTTGCAGCAAACCAGAGACACAGCTCACAGAAGCCTGGACTAATGGACACTCGTGCTTCCAATGGCAGCACATTTCCCCTGCAAGCCTATATGTTTTCAGCTGCAGCATCACGACTAAATATGTCACGTTTTGCCTTGGGCAGCCAGAGGAACCTGGAAAAATGTCTTGTTTCTAGCACTGGGGAGGGAGTTGTGGAGGAAACTACTCAGTCTCTGGTAAACTAATATAACGTGCTGTATTTAATGTGCTGTATGCCAGGCTTGTGTGCCTGCTGCCGCTCCCTGGCTGAGAATTATGATATGGCCAAATCTGGATCACTGCTGTTGCATAAATAAACGAGGGTGATATTTCATTCATGAAATGCTATTTTCAATAGTGCAAATCTGGAGAGTGACAAATGGTAGGAATGGTTTATGTTCGCAAAGTGAAAAAATTTATCACCCTAAATTTCCTTCCACCTGCCTCTTCAGAGCACATAACAATCAAGAGGCTGTTAACATTGAAACCCTTGTTTCCTTTAATAATGTCTGCTCTTCTGCCTAGAATATAGGCTTGCCTTTTGGAAAGCCTTAAATTTTAAACATATGGCCAACCTGAAAGTTGTTAACTATGAAATCTGTGTGTATTTTCCAAAAATTCAGTGTCTTGAGAATGATTTGGAACCATCTGGGCTCTACTTCTTGCTTTATGGTTGCAGCATTTTGAATAGCCTTTGGGCATTATTTAATATTTTCGTGCTGTTATTAAAATGAGAATTAATAGTGCCCACTTCTAAACAACTTAAGTACTTGAAAAACTTGTCTTGGGTGAATGCCAGAATGCAAAATGTTCTGGTGAATTTTTGGTAAAAGAGCATGTTGCCCAGGTAGCCTATAAGTAAAATAATGATTATAATAGAAATTGGTAGAAAGGAAGAGCTTGGAGGGGAAAGCAGCAGATGACTGAAGAGACAAATGAAGGAATGGAGGGAAAACTAAATGAAGGAAGTAAATTGGAAGAGAGGCAAGACTGAAGGTGATTGCATGAGGGAAAGATGGGAAGAAAGGAGAAAGAAATAAATAGGAGCAGAACAATCTGTGAAAGTCATATGTTCATAGTGCTGAAATCAGGGTTTCCTGGGTTCTCCTTGATCCTGAAAACTACTTATGTCTGTTAGCATTTTGGTAAAATATATTTTGGTGAATTTCTCAGCATTATTATAATGTGACTAGTACTGAAGTCATGTCGCAGGTGAAATATTATTTGCCTTTTGCTCATTAATAGAGATGTGCAAAAGTAGGAGCTTAGTAGATTGCAAACCCTCATTTTAACAACCCCCTAAAGTCTTTGAGAGCAGCCGGTTGTTAGGACATGCCTGCACAGCGCGTGGTGCAGTGGGGCAATGGATTGAGGGGGCCTTCACAAACAATAGCAAGGAATCAAATGAAGAGAATCCCTGAAAATTTCTTTCTCATGCTTCCACCTATCCTTTGCTACTATAAACCTAAGGCTCCTAGCCCATCAAAGTAGCTCAGAAGGCCAGTGGAGCCTGTGAGCTCGCAGCCTGCTTCCCTGGAGAGGGGCACAGTGGTGTCGTACGGAGCCAGGGTGGCATCCACACACATCATCACAGGCAGGGAATGAGCTTTCTGGCCAGGGTAGTGTTATCATCTCTGCGGATACCAGGGAGAGCAGATGTTCCTCAGGTGGCCCCGGGCTGGTAGGCATCGTACGTGTATTTGACAAAATTCGAGTGCTGTTTGGCAGCTGCTCCAGCCTGGCACCTTTTCAGAACAGCTCGGAGCAGTTAATATAGGTTGCTGAGCTTGAACAGGTCCAGCCAACATCCATGGCAAAACCACCAGAGAAAACGTTGTCCAGTGTGTTGCCACAGGCTTTGGTATTAAAACCTGCATGATTTCAAGTTTTCTGCTAAAAGATGAGGAACACTTATATGTGAGTGAGGCGAGGGGATCCTGAGTTAGCAAATGCAGAACACCAGGTTTTCAGTGTTCAGAACCAGGTGGGACCTATGGCTCGTGAAGAGTCCTCTTCTTCTGATAGTTGTGCCAGTGAATCTCTAATACTCTTGGGAATAAAACCGAATACTAGGTTTGAAGTGTGTATTTATTAATGTGTTAAATGTATTTCCTCCTCATCCACTCTGGTGTACTCAAACTGTTCCAAACACTCGAAGTCTTATTGGAAGTGAATTTGTGCAATTTTGCAGAACTCTGACAAGTGTTGCCTCTCATAGTAGGGAACATTTCTGATGTCATTTAACTTCTTCTCCATTTTCCTGTTAGATTTTTGTTGCTGCTGTTAATCTGTGCTTTTATTCATCTTCCATTTGACAGAAGATGAACTGGCAACCCCACCATTAGATGGCATCATACTTCCAGGAGTGACAAGACAAAGCATTTTGGACCTGGCATGTGACTGGGTGAGTATCTTGACTTTGGCAACAACTGCCTTAAACATCTATGAAGGTAAGTTATTCCCGGTGTTCGGTGTCCTGAAGTTCAACTGATCTGGAAAAATCCCTTACTAAATAGGGACTAAGGGACTAATTCATAGACACTCAGCAACATCATCAGAACATCCACGCCTGTCGCCCAGAACAATGCCAAGCTTGTTTAAGGCGAAAATTCTCATTGAATTGGTGTTCTTAAATTCTTTTTTCCAGTGATACCAACTGCATAAACAAGGAAACAATTGGCATGCCTGACCACAGCTATACTTTAGTAATAATTTTCATATTTCTCCACTCAGTTCTCATGGTTGCATCCTTAATCGTAACAACTAGCATGAAGTCAAAAATCTGGATAGCATCTTAAAGTTGTCTATCAGCATGCAGATTCCAGTTCTGTAACATCTCGTCCAAGCACTTACCTGGGTCCTTGAACAGACTATCTCAGATCCTGAAATGCTGGGAGTTCTCCACTCCGCCTGCTCAGCATTCGGAGATGTTATTGCAGCTGTGACAAGGATAGCAGATATTAGACCAGAATCCTCTCTATAGCTTTTGGCCAGGGTGCTGCTTAGGAAGGAGCAGGGCAGACATACATGATCTTTCCCCTCAGATTCTCTCAGCCTTCCGTCAGCTAAAGCTGAAAGACTTCCTGAAGTTCACAGTTATATCCCTTGTATCTAACTGGTAGTGAAGAGAGCTACACATGAGCTTCAGTGAGGCGCACAGGACACTTGCTGACCTGTACTAAATTCTGCATGTTTTCTCCTATTAGTACCCCTCTTTGATAGATTAAAATGAGTGCAAGTAGGAATGTCTACTTCTCAGTCATTTCTGCTTTACAGGAAAGATAGATAATCCCAACTGCTAGAGTTCATCAGTGCAATACCAGTCTCTTACCTCAGTCTTTGAATAAAATAACAAAGTTTATTCTGTCCTGTTTTACCTTCATCCCCTTATTTATCTGAAACCCTGCTTGTTCAGTGTCTCTCCCTGTCTCTCCAAATGCTATCCTGTCCAGAACTAACCATGTTTTCTGCTCACTTGCATAGTAAAATGCTTGTTTATATTACAGGGCTAAGCTTTAGTTTGGTGTGATAGGGCAATGAAGTCCACATAAATTTGTGTAACAAACATTTCAAAGTTTAATGTTTATGTTTGTTCCTTGATCATTTCCCTTCAGTCAGCTGCTCTGCACACATACAGAAGATAAAATCCACCCCTTTTTTCTTTTTCGCTGTGATTGTGTTCAGTGTGAGTCACTTTACTTGCACCTTAGGTATGGTTCATTTTTGTAACAGCTGCATGCAGGCTGTAGGGTGAGATTTCATGAGGGAATAAAGAAATGCACAGTATCCAGTTGGCATTGCAGGTGGAATTAGCAGAATGCCTTTTGCCTAGGAATTGCCCAGGGGGGTTGGATGTGTGGTGCTCTTGTACAAAACGCAGTCATTTTTCTAGAAACTTCAGCACGATAATGAAGTAGTTAGATTCTGTGACACACAACCTGTCATAAAGTCTGCTGTGTTATTCTCCAATACAGTAGTGAGACTCAATACCAAAACAGGGGAGAGATTGCCACACAGTCAGTCATCTGTACCCTACCTAACAAAACTTAGGTTTTTCCATAAAGTCATTCTCTTAATTGTGTCTATTTTTCATATTACTGTGAGGTTTGGAAAGATCATAGCCAAAACTTGGCTGCCTGCAGCTGAGCTAATTAGGAATACTACATCGTTCTTTTAGAGATGCTGAAGCTGTGTAAAACAAAACCTGGCAATTTTTATACTTTTTAAAATTTTTATACTTGATTCTTTTTGGGCAGGGGGAATTTAAAGTATCTGAGCGATACATTACCATGAGTGACCTGACAACTGCCTTGGAAGAGAACAGAGTGAAGGAGATGTTTGGTGCTGGCACAGCTTGTGTTGTATGTCCCATCTCTAAGATATTATATAAAGGCAAGGTAGGAAACGTTTCTTTTTCTTTTCCCCTTTTTTTTTTTTCCAGAAAATTCTGAAAATTAATTGCAGCTGGATCAAAACAAAACTGCTAGCTTGATGTCCATTTTGGGAAAAAAGCAATAGTCTGGAGAATGTATCTATTTTATTAAAACCTTTTTTCAAAAATGTAAGTCTTGTGAGTTAGATGAGGAGAGATTTCTGAGCTACTGCATTCTTTCCTGTACTAGTTTACCTCTTTTTGTTGGCCCCTCATTGCAGGGAACCCAGCTCTATTGGAAGAGCAGTTTCAGGAGGTTGTGTAGCTGCTTCCACTTGCTCTGCACTCTCTAGGAGATTTCTTCTGCAGAGGTGGAATTCCACAGGACATTTCTTCAGCCTGTCAAGCTGACTTGATGCTTTTCAGTCAGCACAAAGTTAATTCAAAAGGCTGGGGAATTGCATGAGGATATATGGAAGTGCATTAAATGTGACAAGCACAGTAAATACATGGAGGGTGATGCTTCTTGAACTAATTAGATTGAATAAATGTTTAGATGGTATCATGTACGAGGGTTATGTAGAAAAATCAAGGTGCTGAGTATTGATAAGCGCACTTCTTGTGAGCAAGATACTCTGAAATGGAATACTGTATGCTAGTGAGATGCTCCTATCTCTACTATTTACTCTCTGATTTGGATAAGTCTTTTGGAAAGAGCTTAAATGGGCATTTCATTAAAACAGCTTAATAAAACTGACCTCAGTTTTCACGGGCTTAGCATGTGCTCCTATGAAAAAAAAGTTACAACAATCCTTGCCTGCATGTGAGGGGGGCTTAGAAGGCTTGATTAGGATTTGTTGAATGTTTATTAAAATGCTTGGTGATGCTGAAGTATTCATATTCATTATTTTGTTTTTGTGTTATGCTCTCCCTCCTCTCCCTCTTCACCCTCAACACAATGTTAGCATTTACACATTCCAACTATGGAGAACGGACCTGAGCTGGCAACCCGTTTCCTGAATAAGTTGAGTGATATCCAGGTAAGAGGGTTCCTCTTCCTTTAACAAATAAAATAATAAAAGGTGAAAATTGGAGAACACTGAAAAAAGCTTTTTCAGTAATAATGCTCTAGGCATGGTAATATAGGTATTTGTGTTCAGTGTAGTTATTTTCTTATGTCAAGGAAGTATGATATGGTGGGAGAGTAAATCTTGTTTTTTCCCCCGTTTATCTTGCAAAGTGAATGAACGTTGCAAATTTCTTTTTAAAGAGGAAAGAAATAGGTTAAGCCTCTGAAAATCAAACTCACAAGTGGATCTAGCTAGTCAATAAACAGGTATGTGAAGCAGTGGGCACAGACTGGACACAGCCAGCTGAGCACTGATCTTGTTTCTCAGTACCTTTCCAATTGCATTTGGTCATTTCATGTTCTCGAATCAGTTCCTTCCTCTGAGGTTTGCAGAATATCAAAATCTATTTGGAATCTGTGCTTGACCTCCCAATGTAGGCTTAGGATCAGCTCCATTTCCATTACCATCAATGAGCTCTGCATGATGGCCCTCTTTATTTCAGTTGCCTCTTTTCTCTGCCTTTCGTAAGGGTAGCTTATGATGTTGAGGATATGAGGATAGGATTAGGTCTTGACAAATTGCAAACCCTTTCATTTAAGATCTGATAGCAGTAGCTGTTTGGCAGTTTCATCATGATTTCTGCAAAGCAAGTCTGCTAGTTAAGTGCTCTACCTAAATAGCTTTTGACTGAAGGAGCTTATTAGATTTGCTGTTAAAATTTTAATCTTCTCGCTGGTAAGTCTATATGCAACTTGTTAAAACATTGTGAAATGACTTGCAGCACATGGTAACTGTACGAATCCCTTAAAGCAGTCAGATGTTTTTAAGAAAGTCTTAAAGTTGTATTTTTTTTCTATTTTATGTGGCCTTTCACTTGTCTATGGTAAAAATCTGACAAAATTCTTGAACTGAGACCTCAATCAAAAATCTCCCATTAATTGCAGTCCATTATCCTTTACTGAACCACCTAAAACACCACCATGAGCAAGCTGATTTCTGTAATGTGTATTATTTATGCAGTGGGTTCTGCTATATTGTGGTCCTAATGAAAATGCAATGAGTGGCAATGGATTAATTCTTTAGTGTTTAATTCAAAAAGTATGCACCAGTCTTGGACAAAGGCAAGTCAAGCATTTCATGTCATTCCAGTGGTCCTTCTGAATTCCCTTTTCTACATTTTTCCAGCCTGCACTGGAAGTGCTGACTGTTGGCACTGTGCATACAGAATACAACTGTGCATACAGGATTGAATGTGCTTAGCATGTACTTACTAGTTGCACACCAATAAGAAAATCTGCGCTCGTACAAGTGCTGGATGTGCATATTTACTTTCTGCAGTTTCTGCCTTCTTTAAAAAGGCCAGGAAAGCTTGAGCTGTTCACTTAAGAGTCGATCAATGGCTACAGGATGTGTTTCTGCAGCAGAAAACAACGCAACAACATACAAGATGTATACATACAAGATGTAATATCATAAAATTTCAAGGGAGTTTTCAGGCTCTTTCACAAAGATCTTTTGTATTCTACCAGGAGAAAAAATATCTCTATGCATTATTGTTGCAATATTGTTTGAATTGTCTGAGACTGTTACACCAAAATATTCTTAAGAATAAAATGCTTTGTAGGTTATAGCTAGATGCAGCTTCACCTTTCTGATGTGGTGTTGCCTGCATGAAGGCATTTTCTGTTCCTTAGTGGACGTTTGATATGTTCTATCTGCCTTCGTGTTTGATATCCATTTTGTTTTCAATAATGGACATTTATAGACAGCAATAACTTTCGATGTCCACACTTGGTCCTTCATTTGAACCGGTGGTGGAGGGGTGCAGGGCTCTATATCCAGTTACATTATACTGATTCCCTTGTGTTCAATACATGATTGTTTAACATTTTCAGGTTTTTCTTGATTATTGTGTTTCCTATTTCCTAGTCTGTTTTTTTTTTTTTTTTTTTTTTTCAAGTTTTTTGGGTCCAACAGGATTTCTCTAGTTTTGAACAGCTGTTCAGAGGGAATTAGAGCTACAGTGACAAATTAGAAACTCATGAGCAGAACGGATTCCATTTCTCATGCCAATTGAGAGAGATAGTAGTAGTACTACAATATAGATTTCTCTTCCTATCACTGAGTGGAAATCACGGTTATTGAAGGCAGATAAAGATTTTTGATGAAATAATTCATGTTGTGTACACTAATGGTGTGCTTATGAATGAATTAGTTACGGAACATCATCTTCTATAACTGCTTGAGTAGGAAGAGTTGGAGATGAGATTCCTTTCTCTGGGAATACTCTCTCTGAAAAACCAATCAGTTGTTTTTGTAGTTTTACATTCTGTATGTTGACAATAAAGAAGCTTTTGCTGTACCCTTTAAAATGTAGGTAAAATAAAAGGTAAAATATATTGTTTAATATACAAAATACATTTGAACTGTCAAGACAGGGAGCACTAAGCAGGTATTTAGTCAGAAGCCCTACCTTTCTCAAACTTACACAGCCTAAATGGGCAGGCCAGTGTAAAATAGCCAGGGGAGGAGAAAGGATGTGTTAAATTCTACAAAGCAGGACCTGTAGGAGGAAAAAAATAGGTTGACTAGTGTAAGGTCCTAAAGTCTATGTCAAAGACATAGATCTGCTTTTATTTTCAAAATGAATATATCTTGCTACTGGTATAGCATTTTCAGTCCCCATTTAATTCTGGAAGTAACTCAAACAGAAGTCAAATGACAAATCAGCGCAGCCCTTCAAATTTCTGAAGTTTCAGTTTGTTATGTCAGTTTTCAGTTCTGCATTTTGTGTTTCCTGTTCTGAGTGAGAGTTTTAAGTGCTCTATTTTCAAACACTAGCACAAGCGCAGGCAAACTGAACTTTATTCCTTTGTGATTCCAGAAACAAGGGTTTTTTTCTGGCTTATCCTAATTTGGATGAGTTTCCTTTCCCTGCTTTCCTATCCCTTTATCTCTTTCTCTGCTGATGCAGATCTTGGACGAGAACTTCCTTTTCTCCTCTCTAGAGAGACCATTATCAACTGATCTTTTCAGCCTACGTGAGACCTCTAAAAACGGTTCTTTATTCCTTGCTGAAGAGTTTTTTCCAAGTTCCCTGAACATGGTACTTATAAGAGGTAGGGCCCCAACTCACATCTGCTCTCCTCTGGCCATCCCTACTCTCCTTACATACTTGAGGCATATGTACATTTTTGGGGCTCTGTGGAGCATTGTTTACAGGGTTGGTGACAAAGAACTTTAGAACATGGGGTCAGTTTAAGAGTCAAAAGTGCTGTCTTGGGACTGGATCCTCCCCTGGAAGGGATACAGCTCCATGTGGTAGGTCCTTTCCATTCTAACTGCTTATCCTCTTGACTTGTGTATGGAAAGAAGGCTTCTTTTATTTGGATTACAATTTTCTCTAATTGTACCCTGTGGTATTTGTGATTGGTTTTATTTCACATTTAATCAAAGTGTTGTAATAAAAGACCACCTTGAAAATAAAGGAAAACAAATGTGGAGTTTGAGCAGGGGCTTACTTGTAAATTCATTAGTGAACTGACCACAGGGAATAACCATATTAAATTGATGAAAAGATCCAGCAAAGCAGGACTAATCTGTATCATCTCCAGGGAGAATCGGTATCACCCCTTCCAGTCTACTCATCAGAAGATGGATAAATCTTCAAGCTGCCTTTAGGCTTTGCTAGAAACCAAGACATAAATAAAGGCATAAAAAGTAATGCAAACGATTACCAGGATGATGTGGATGTGAATCTTACCAAGGGCAGACCTAAGAAGTTATCATAATGATTTGTGCACCATTACTTGTAAGTTTTATTGTTACGGTCCCTTTTTGCTTTGTTTCAGTATGGAAGAGAAGACAGCAACTGGGCAGTGCTGGTGTCCTGAAGGCAGAAGAGCTCAGACCCTCCAGAGAGAGCAAACATGAATAATGACAACTTCTGTAGTGCCTGTGCGTAGTGTAGTTTCCGTATCACTTTGCTCCCCGGGATGATTGGTTCCACAGTCCAGGGAATGTGAACACAATCACTTTTGATTTCTACTGTAATCCTGCTAGTAGAAGCCTAGCTTCTTGGTAGAGGTGCTAGATGTTAGCAATAGACCTTTCCTAATGGTTTTCTTAGTGCCTCCTTGTGTCTTATGTACAGACCAAAAACTTGTAAAATGCTCTTCAACTGCTCTTCAGTTTGTTTGTTTGTTTGTTGGGTTTTTTTTAACTGCCTCCTCAGCAGAACAGGTTGCCATATAACACAAGGACATTGCCTGTTCCTTGGGTCCAAGGTTCTATTGACATCATTTGCCTTTTGCTCTGTGTCCAGGAAAAAAATAAATTTAGCCATACATCCCTTCCCTTTGTACTCTGCTTGTATGGGAGATGCCTGTGTTTGCAGAGCCCTGCAGCTCTCCTTCATTTTCTGCCAAATAACAGCTCTGTCATTTAGTCCAGAACGCTCGGTGTGGATCAAGCCTGCATTTTGTGAACGGTGGCTGTGGGGCAGGGGCAGGACAATCCTCTGCTCCTCAGGGCTGGACCGTGCCACGCTGAGGCCCAGTGTTGGCCCAGTGCAGAGCTGGGAGATGCTCTTTCAGTGTTGCCTTCTGGATGCATGTCTAGAAATAACATTAGGCCCCCGTGGTGGTGAAGGCTGAACCACCCTTGTTGGACAAAGTAAAAGCAAGCAAGGCTTTGGAGGGAGGATGAATTAAAATAATTTTCCTTCTACATCCAAGCACCTAATCTGGTTCAGCAAAATATTTTTCTCATTCCTTTCCCCAGTCTTGGGCTCCCAGAGGCTGGTTACATTCCTCACTATAGCCCTGCTGTTTAAGGAACAAGCTGTACTGTCAGCAGGAAATACCCAGCACAAGGAAGAAAGAGACTTCATTCAAATCCTGTTTGCAGTTTAAGCACTTACTTCTTGTGTGCTGCTACACACTAAGACACATGCAGTCTTGATATCATTTGGAAGCAGTATGAAGCATGTAGCCCATAGTTAGGGAATTAACTTCTGTAAAATGTCACTAACAAATATACTGTAATATTTATTAGCTTTTGATTATTGCACACAGCTTTGTCAAACAGCTTTAAGATGTCTCTAGCCAAAAAGGATCACCATATTGTGTTATCAGTGCTCCAAAGTGCTACTTCAGCATAAAGCTGGTGGAACTTTATTGACACTAATGGAATCTTATAAGAAATAAAAGTGAAGCATTTATTGCCATAGTGTACAGTAGAGATGCACCAGTATTAAGGGAAATAATTAGCACTTTAAAAAAAAATACTCAATAGTATCTCTCCTATTCTTTGTAAGAGTGCTTAGTTGTTGTTGGCATTTGTTAACATAGTTTGAAAAGGCAAAGTATCATTTCATCCATGCCTTATGCAACTGCTGAAAAGTAGCCATATGGCTTTCCTGTTCATTTTGGACAGATTTTAAAGACAAATGTTACTTAGCCATCCATTACTTTTGGACCCTCATGTGATGACTTCACTATCTCTCACTGCAGTGAAGTCTATTATTTTAATGAAGAACAGTTGAAGGTTCTCTCAGACAATGTAACCATTGGTGAAATACGTTGGACAGTTTTCTCCTTAGGATACATCTGCAAGCACAAGTTGCAGTTTCATTTACAGTAGCAGTAGTACCGTGTCGCTGCTCTTCTTAGCACTTGAATCTGTGTTGTGTTTTGGTCCTTGTATCTTATCCTGTATTTTAAGCTGCTAGTAGTCTTCTGCTGTGGTTACATGGGTGGAAAAATGAATATCAGGAATATGTCAAGCTGTAGTCTGGGGTAGAGAGTTTTATCCAATGAGGCAAGTATCATAACTAAAGAGTGCCTTGAATTAGAGTGTGCATGGCTTGGAGCTCTTTAAAGGTGATGTAATGAGAAATCCTCTGTGGCTTCCTGTTACTGAACTGTGTAATCTCGTCCCTTATGTTCAGTTTGTTTTTAGCAGCAAAGGTGGAAATATCAAACTAAAAGGCATAGGGAACTGGATATATGATCTTTTAACACATCAATATGCTAATAGCATTAAGAAATATTGTATATCAAAAATCCCTGCGAGGGCACCAGTATAAAAGCACTAATTAATTCCCTAGTTTGAATGAATAAGGACAAGCTAGAACAATTATTTGATTGTCTTATAGAACCTCAAAGTTGTGTAAAACTCTTCTCAGATTGGATGCAATTAATTTAATGTGAAGAAACAAAGTTGTTTTAGTGATTGTGGTTTGCACTGTTTCTTACACTGGCCAGAGATAAACCTTTCGTTTTACTGTACTTTCTGAACTGACAGTGACTTCAAAATCTTAAATGTTCAAACTGGAATGACCCACAGAAACCTATAGATGTTTCTAGCAGAGGAAAATGAAAGATTGCGGATATATATGGTCAATTCTTGTCTATACCACCCTAGTTAATTGCTTTACTTTGGCTGTGCCAACTCAAGAGTTGTGCTTGTTTCTAAATGAGGTCTATGTGAATAGGCTCTAGATTTTAAACTTAAATAACTGAAACCTAAATAAGGTAGGGGATGCGTGAAGCAGATTCTTCATATCTTGAGTGCAGTCCTACCATGCATTCTGTCACTGTGTTTTCTCCTGTTAACCAAAGGAAAGAAATGGCATTTGTAAATAATAGTGAGTATTTGATATTGCATGCTCCCTGTTTTAGTCTGAAAAATTTAGGAGGGAACTGTGGTTTTCCCTGAGCTAATAATTGTAAAAGAACATCTGCACATCTCTTTTCTCTGTAGCCTATTTGTTTAATTGCAGCAGATTTACATAGAAAGAGTACATCATAACTAGGCAATTATCCATTCTTCATCACTTAGTTATGGTTCTGCTAATTGATCATTTAAGACATAAGATAGTCTAGCATTAGGAGCATTTGAGACTGTTCAAAAAAGATCAACAAATTAATACTGTTGTGTGATATTTGCATAATTGGCTGCAATTATTTAATGTTTAATTGGGTTGATCAAATGAGATTCAGCCTTTCACATGTTTATGTTTTACAAACACTGGTACTTTAAAATGATAATAACAAACTCTAATTTTTGCATGTTCTTTCTCCCCTCTTCTTCATTTTCCTGATTATTATTTTCAGTATTAGGCATGTCCTTAATTTTCAGTATGGTGAGCATGACTCAGGCATAGAAAAGAAGTCCTTCAAACGAGAGAACATCTCGTGGAACTGGGAGTTCCTGCAGGCTTTCTTAATGCCAAAAGTTCTGGCAGGAGCAAATGGCATTATTTAACTAGTCTTACCAGCAATCGAGGCAAATTCACCAAGGATTTACAATGACAGACTCCGGTGGGAGTGCTAACAAAGCTTCTTGCACAGGGTCGCTACTCCATTCAGTCTGCAGTGGTGCAAAGCAAATAGGATTTTTCTGGGATATAGGGGGGAAATATGACAAGGCAAAACCAAGGCACTGCGAGATCTCTCCGTCCAGCCACTGTTTCCACCTCTTCAGCTGTCTCGAGCCATCAGCCAAAAAGCAATTGCAGTCCCTCTCCTCTTTCAAGATAAATCCTCACTTACACTTCCTCTAGTTTAACTGAGAGATATCATTGATCCTCTTATGTATACTTATTTTTCCTCAGGCATGAACAGTGCTAATTCAGAAAAAAAAGGGATATTTGAAAGAGTCATTTGCAGTGCAAGCTGTTTGAAATGCCTACGTGTAGCACATGTAGGATTTCTAAGGAGGTAGATAGCAAAACAGCAGGGAGTGATCTCAGCATCACCTCTTTAGAGGAAGACCTCTTTGGTCTGACTGTCTCTCTAGAATAAGAAGAATAATCTTTTGGGGTGGCTTAGTGCAAACTGTCTATTGACGGTGCTTTGCTATGAAACAGGATAGCACAGCCATTGCTGTGTGGTGGTAGCCCAGGCTGTCAGACTGGCACATCATTGGCTCTGTGAGCATGAGTTTTGCCCTAATCGTGAGAATTTTTAATATTTCACTGTAAGGAGGTGGGCAGGTGTAAATGATGATGCTGAGCATGCAGTAGGCCATTCCTTGCTCTCTCTTTCTCCTTTCCACACACCCCTTTTCCCCTTTTCTGTCATGGTGTCATTCAGTCTTATGTCTGAAAGTGATCATTTAAGGTAATTTTCCATTGTTTCTATTTTCAACAGTAGTGTTAGTTGAGTAAAAACTTTTGTGTTTTGTTTCTCTTGCGGGTGTTGGGAGATGAATTGCACTTAATTGCCTCGTGTCATGCCTGCACAGACTGACATTGACTCTCTGATCCTCAGCAAGGTTATCTAACCTCTTTGTAAGTATAAAGTAATAGTAGTAGTACTATCACTTATACTGCTTTTAACTATAATCCAGCTTTTGTAAAAAAAAAAAAAAAAAAAAAAGTAATTTTACTACAGATTGACTATAAGTAAAGTTAATAAGTTTTCCAGAAAACTTTTTTTAGCAGCAGAGAAAGATGCCAAGAACTATATTTAAAGGATTGCTTCAGAGCAGGGTGTTGAAATGTCTTGATCATACAGAAGGAAAATGTTTTTTCAACGTGAAGGACATTGTTTGTGCAATCACACAGCAAACCTTAAAAATACGCAGCTCAGATTCTACTGCTGCACGCAGAACAGTTCTTGATGAGAGGCTAAGGTGAACTTAGTCTTGTTGAATGGTGAAGCTTGTGGAAGCCTTGTGCTTCTCAATGAGGCCACCTATTCTAGAGCTACACTGTCATTTAGCATTCAGATCTCTATAGATCTAGGCTACAGTTTCTCTGAACAGTTACAGTTTTACTGTAAGACTTAACAATTGAGAGGTGTCAAGGAGCTGTGTTTTGTCACTAAACACGAGATTTGCCAAAATAATTGATAGGTTCTAAATCTCTTAAGCTACTTAGTAAGTAGCTGTATTTTCAGTCCTAACAGGAAAAGAGGCTATTGCTACTGCAGCAGTGAAAAATGCTGTTTTTACAGTCTTCCTGCCTATGCTTTGGTTGAACGTGATGGTTGTTAGCGGGAATCCCAGGCTATATCCTGAGTGCCATCTCTAGCACAGTTGGCAAATATCTCCCCAACTGCATAAGCAAAACTGGCTTCTCCATTAGCTTGAACTAGAGCAATCAAGTACAATAGTGCCAGGCAGGTGTGGAACAATACTGAACTACAGTAATCAACCCTTAGCATTAAACCAAATTTAAGGATTAGTAGCTCAGATGGAAGTAAAAATCATTGACCACACCCACCTTTACTAAAAAGAGATTTGTTTAAATTCACCATTACTAAAAGCATGGCTAGACCCTCATCTCTGTCTGTGAATATGAATTTATGCTGAGTTTGCTTACCTTAAAACTTATTTATTGTGCCTGACTCAATCCTGAATTCTCATGCTGTGCTTTAAATAAAAGAATCTTAAATTTCATGTTCATAGAAAGATGTAAAAGAGGATCTAAGACTTTGCCTATAGAGTTGTTTTAGAATATCTGTTATATAAAATAAGTGTAGGAAAACAGAAGTTACCTCTGTGGAAACAATTACACACTGCAGTATACCAGAGGGCTGTCTAGGGTTTTAGAGCCCTTTATTTTATGCTTCCTCCTTCTCTCCAGGATCATTTTTGTTATTGACCAAAGAGCTGTACAGGGAAAAGTAAATAAAATATACTCAGTATACTTTTTTCCAACCAAGAATTGGAAAAATTTCCAGGAGTTGGTTCTCCTGATCAGGCTAGACTTGATTTTGTCAGGCATAGAACAGTCATTAAAGTGGGGGACAGGGGAATTCAGAAATCGTGTTAGGCAGTAATATCTTGCATGAACAGATCTTCTTTTACTTCTTGATCAAAATGATCAAGATATGAACAGGTGGTCTTTTAAGCTTTGGGCCTTTTTATAACTTTTGTGCTTTTCATTTTAAAAATCTGATACAATATCACAGATTAGTTAGTTTAAAACTATCATGTCTCAGTAGGTTAAGACCAAGAACAAAGCAAGTATTCTTCTTATTTTTGTAATTGCCTTCTTCCTTTATGCCAAAACCCTTCCTGATAATGATTTGGTGTCTGCTATGACTGTGAGCTTTTCAACTGACATAGGGGTTTTTATTGGTTTGTTTTTGTCTCTGCTGTGCCCTAGCATACTCCAAGCTTTTCCGTAAGCACTAATGCTAGTGGCAGAGACCAGGGCAAAAAGTGAAGTGAAAAGGCTTTTGTCTCCAGAACAGGGATGCTGAGGAGTAGGAATGTAATTATCTGTGTCCATCCTTCAAGACAGGAGGTCAGGAGAACCACATTACCTTTTTTTTCATTCAGTCTTAAAGACTACCCAAGAATCCCAAATGTCTAGCAGGATGATGGGTTGCTTTTTAAGACAGCTCTTATTTTGCCGAAGTACTTCGGATTCATGCCTACATTTTCATAATTGGGCCTTAGTTGCTTAACTGAAACCTGCAACTCACTTTGGATAGGTCACGAAACAGTAAAACAGTGGATCAAAGCAAACAGGCAATGCTCAGAGTCATCTAACAGCGAGAAACTGTCTCTTACAGTCAGTGATCTTCTCAGTTCCTGTAACTGTCAGTTTTCTAACAAGCTGGCCATGACTGGTGGCAAATACATCAGGAACTCAATCCCATAGTCATGGACGTCGAAAAAGAGGGAATCTGTTCCCTGCATCTCTCTGGGACGTGGCTTGGACTGCAGCTTCGCTGCTACAGTAAAGAGTGGCAGAATGATGAAGGGGGTTCTTTGCCACGGTGGAGACTAGTGGAGCCTTTATTGGGAACTGGTTGCACGCAATTTCAGTTGGAGCAGTAGATTTGGCAGGAAAGATGTGCCAGTCTACCTGGTATTCCAGGCATGCTGGAGTAGGTCTAGGAACTGTAACGTAGAAGCAGAGGGAAATGAACAATTTAAAGAGGGAGAAGTAAACACCTCTTAAGGGTTGCTGTTTTCGTAAGTGTTAAACTTAATGAGGTATTTTACAAGGATCTGAGCATATAAAAGCATTAAAGGACAGATGTGTGAAAAAAATACTGGATAAAATAAAGGAAACTCTACCTCATTCTTCTTTAAAGGTTTTGCAGAAGCACAAGTAAATGCTCCTAATGGCATTGTTACATACCGACCATCTGGCATGAAAGAAACACTTTATATTTGTATGTCTATAAATCCTGTAATAACTGTATTTTGCTGGCAGTAGAAACACTCTATACTATTTGCAGTTTTCCTCATCAAATCTGTAATTATGCAATGTTTCTGTCCCCAATAAAGAAATTTAATGGGCACCTGTTTGTGTCATGTTATGAAATCATCACTGTTGAGTACAACTAACTAAGCATCATTATTCCATGGATAGGAGCTGTTATGGAAAAAAAAGAAGGGGGGTTCTTGAAGGCTAAATTAGAAGAAAAATGAATTACTGAATGAAGCATGGCATTTAAGAACAACAGAGCAAGACCTAAGTGGTGAGAGACAGGTCTACAGTCAAAATACAGTCAAAATGCAAAGCCCTTGTCCTGCCTTCAGGCTTCCACCAAAGACTAAGGGCATGACACCCATATGAGAGGGAAGTCCAAGGCCTTCACTGCAGCAGTCTGTACCTGCCAAGCCTGGACACTCAGCCAGTGGTTCCATCGCGGTAAGAAACACTGGACAAATCAAACAGCAGAGGAACTAGCTGCTAACCACGTTGTCATAAAACAGCTTTTAATGTGTCAGGGCTAGGTAGCAGTGATTGAATACAGCCCCATTCCTAAATGTTTTGGAGCACTGAACTTGAGGGAGAGAAGAAAGCCAGAAGAGAACTTTATACTCTGAGCACTTACTTCACAAGGCACTTCTGAGCAGCCATTACTCTCAAGAATATGGACCTATGGGAAGCCCTTTGAAGGTGGAAAGCTCTGAAAAGTGAGTGTCATTAAAATCTTGACATTTGCCATGTGTAGTGGCTACATTTACCAAAATACTTTACGTATTCCCCTCTTTCAGAACAGGCAATACTGTGATTAAAGATAGTACGGATCCATGCTGTGGTAAAGTACACATCAGGGTAAATTTTCCGTCTGGTTTGGTTCTTAGTCACTTTGGGGAAGGCTGGCATGGGTACAGGAAACTTTAAAGAAGCTGTATACAGGTAAGAAAGTACTAAGTGTTGTTAATTATTGCTAGGGGAATGAGCCTGACATGTCTGAATCAGACTTTATTCCTGTGTTCAACCTCTCCATTTTCATCCAAAAGGAAGCTTCCTTAACGCTAACTCTAACTTAAGCTTCAGGAAGACAGTTTTCAAAATGTGTTGGTTCCAAGTAGTTAGAATTTGAGGACTGATGCTTAGCAGACTTCACAGACAGAGACACCTTTGCCTCCTAGCAAAGCTTGAAGGATCCCTTGTTTCATGCATTTTGAACCATCTCACCAGCTGGCACCAGCTCTGTTTAATAAGCGCCTTGATGCAGCATTACCACCAATGTTGTTTTCTCTCTCTGAAGAGTCTAGATAGCAAAGACACCAATTTGGGGTATGTAGTCTTATAAAGC